ATATTTTATATATATGTAAAATTAATATAAGGCCAATATGTATTGTGTAATGACAGTCCAAAGTAAGGCACAATATCATATATATATATATATGATCATGGTACCTTAATTTTGAAAGCTGTCTCATTCCTAAAGAATCACATCATCGCATTATTCCACCAAAGTGGCTCTCCCTACATCGAACTTCTTCATCTTGCTTGGTAATTCTCCGATGGTTCAAACAGTAGGACAGTCACAGAATATGTATGTGTGGAGGCACACACATAATTTGAGTAAGATCAAATTATGTTTTAAATTATAGTAACTTTCCCCTTGTGCTATTTGATTTTATAATCGATAAAGTCAGCCAGGTGTGTCTGACCCTGTCTGCTTCTCTAACTCACTATGGAATGATGACATCCATAGAATTCTCTCTCTTCTTGTACTCTTGGGGGAGAGGGGGATGGGGTTGGAGAAAGCTATTCCATCTGATTATGACACACCGGCCTGTCTGTAAATTTATAATAGAAGTAGGCACCAGAAACTAAATTTTCAAAGTAGCTGTATGACAATTTTATCTGTTTCAGTTGAAAGGCCTATATCCACTGAGCATTTTGGTCAATTTTTTTATTTTTAAGAAAATGGTAGTTGTTTAAAATTTGATCAAATTTGTTAATGTCAGTCACTGGCTGCAACCCCGAGTTTGACAGAAAATAAAAGAGTACCAAATGCACGAAACATCTCCACATTAACACAGTACAATCACTATAATAAGTATATGGAGCCTAATTTTTTTCAAGACTGCGAGATCATTAAAAATCTGTATTTTATCGCCTCAAACATGGTGATCGTTGTTATTTCGATAAAAACACCGGCGTTGACCAGGCCGGCGCGCACCTACCCCCGCGGTGAGCGAGTCGGCCCTATACTGTAGTGTACCCCGCATGTGGGGTCACATGCTTTCCGACTCTTGCGGAAGGATTGATGCAAAATAATTCCAAGCTGATTACTTTATTCTAATAGGCAATAAACTGATCTTTTAATTGATACTTTTTTGAGCCGGTATTTTGCATATTTCG